AATCTTGAATTTTTTAATTTCTCTTAATATGAAAATATAAGAAGAAGAAAAAATCATAACACGAGAAAATTAATAACATGAATTTCTTAAATTAACATGCCTTTATTTCTTATCAATTAAATGCCGTATTTTATCAGAATTGATATAAACTTGATTCGCTTAATCGGATTACTCAAGAGAAGTTTATAGTTCGGACATTCATTGCTCGTTTATATGTTAAATATAATGTATGAAATAATATAATTTATTATTGAATTAATTAATTACTTAATTAAAATAATTTTAATTATATATTAATATAACATAATTTTAATTACACAATCTGTGTGCGCGTATAAAGCAGCATATAACACATATTATATATGATTAATAAAATAATTAGGGATTTTCTCTTATTGTCAGAGACTTTACATCGATTCTCCGAGTAATTTTTCTCGCTACTGAAAACAGGCTCGAATCAATTGATTATTCACGTTTGTCAATCGTATCTCGTGAGATTTGTGCCGTGTGATTCCGAGTCGTTTTGGATTAGCGGGTGGTCCAGCGTGTCGGTCGGAGACGGGGAGGTGGGGTGGTGATGCGGCGGCACCCCCATCCTTCCCCCCATTCCTTCCATCCATCTCAGACTGGGATCGGGCCGCATTAAGAGTCGGACAGCATTAAAACGTTGTTTAGAAGGCTATTTTGAATTTTAATTCCCGCGGCCCCGTCAACGTAACCGAGGTGTGGAATAGATTAGTTTTCGCTCACACACGACTGTCAGCTACTTGCCGCGGGGCCCCGACTGATTGACCGACTGGAGCAGAACGACAGATAACTCTCCCCCTCTTCTCTCCTACACACCTACGTATGCTTTCCTCTTCCGTTTCTCTCTCGTTTTATTCCTTTTTGTCTTTTTTTTAAATTCTGCATTATTTTATCCTCTTTCTTTTAATGATTTCTTATTTTAATCTCTATTAAGTTTGCTTTTATGAGAAGCTTTAACAAATTAAATGGTATACAAATTTGAAGTAATAATCGAATCGAACAGTCACAGTTGACAATTGCACTAAGTGTACAGTAAAAATATGATAAGAAAATAAAATAAAATAAAATTTTAAAAAATATAAAATTTCAAGCGATTTAAGAGATATACATTTATTATAATTTTTATGTAATAGTATTTCTATATAAAAAAACTTATAAAAATATATATCGCACACTAAAAATCAATTTTGACATTTGTGGCTTGTATTTGACTGCTATATTTTAATTCTATTTGTTAGATCTTACCACATTAAATATAGATATCTTGCGATATACGTTATGTATATCCTCTTAATCGGCAGATCACCATTAAAGCGATCTCTCGCCTCGAGTCAATCAGTCGACAATTTCCCGATTGCTCGCAGGAGGAGGAAACGGCAGTGACGAGCGTCGGAAACGACGGAGGATCAGACTCGCTCGATGAAGACGCTGCACGAGAGCTGCTCGAGAAAAGGAAGAAGAGAACCGCGGCCGCGGTTCAAGGTCGCTCGTCTGGAATTCAAGTTCGGCTCTCTCGTTGTTAGCTCGCGCGGTAAAAAGAAGAGGGATGATCGATGGTGAGAATCGACCGGGCTAGTCACTGTGGCTTCGTACAGGAGAAGACATCACGTTGCGGAGGAGGTGCCGGGACTCTACATTCGGCGCCTGACGCTCGAGGACCCGAGAAGGAGGGAACCGTCCGGTTCAAGGTCGCAGTCCCCGGCGCGCCATATCTGTCATCCGCGTAGCAGCGGATACGCGCGCTCGACGCGAGGATCCTCGAGGTATCGAGAGAGGCGAATTCGATATATGTGTATATATATATATATATATACCCTAAAAAATCTAGATAGACTCGCTCGATGAAGACGCTGCACGAGAGCTGCTCGAGAAAAGGAAGAAGAGAACCGCGGCCGCGGTTCAAGGTCGCTCGTCTGGAATTCAAGTTCGGCTCTCTCGTTGTTAGCTCGCGCGGTAAAAAGAAGAGGGATGATCGATGGTGAGAATCGACCGGGCTAGTCACTGTGGCTTCGTACAGGAGAAGACATCACGTTGCGGAGGAGGTGCCGGGACTCTACATTCGGCGCCTGACGCTCGAGGACCCGAGAAGGAGGGAACCGTCCGGTTCAAGGTCGCAGTCCCCGGCGCGCCATATCTGTCATCCGCGTAGCAGCGGATACGCGCGCTCGACGCGAGGATCCTCGAGGTATCGAGAGAGGCGAATTCGATATATGTATATATATATATATATACCCTAAAAACTCGAGATGTCCCGCATCAAGCAAATTTAGCTGTAGCGCAATGATTGACAAGTTAGATTTTTCTCCTCCCCTTCCCTTTTCCCCTTCTCTCCTCTTTAGCGAGATCTTATAATACGAACCGGCAATTATAGGCAGTCGAGAAACTGGTTTCCGAGGAATTTCCATGGGATCTATATTCTATATTTGGAACATTTTAACACGTCGTTCGTTTCATCGCGATAGGATAATTCCTTGTTTTTTTTTTTTTTGTTTTAATTGCTCATTATATTTTTCTAGGAAGAGAGTCAAAATCACTTCTCTTTTTCTCTCTCTTAAATTTATATTCTATCCTCGCTTCTGTCAATATGTATTTTCTTATTGCGTGGCTCGAGCAAGTGAAACAAACTTGGTCGGGATATAAACCTCGGGAAGGATTAACCGATCATCCCGGTCTGCTTATTGAATGATTAACATCGTAACGCGTACATATTAACGTGGTTGCGCTAAAGAGACGAGCACCATCCCGTGGATCACTTCTAGCGAGATATCGCGTCGTTCGGACGACGAGGACGCCTCTCGCTCTATATAGGACCCCGTAATTAAACGTACTAAAATTTAACGGTCGTACACAGACGATCGTCTCGCTGCGACTTAATAAAAGACTCACGGGGCCGAACCTCGGCACGGTAACGTTATTAAAGCGGCTCGCGCATTAAAATACGAGCAGCATCGGTACGTCATTATCATCGACATTTGATCTCACACTCTCCCTCTATCGTTCTTCATATTTCTTTTTCTTTTCCCGTACAAACTTTAAGAACCTGACCCCCCCGATATCCGGGCAAGGTTACCGAGTTTATGTACATATATCGCGACTTTGGAACGTGCTCTCGTTTCCCGTCAAGCGGCTGAATCTTTCCACGTTTCACTCGAATTCTCTTTGATCCCTGTGCTCTCTCCCCTTCTTTGCCTAAAAGTCGTTTCGTGGGCCTCGTCAGTAAGTGTCAAGTCTTTTGGATTCTTGTCGCGTTTACTAGAAGAAATAGGAACACGAGATAATATGCTTTTGATCATAAGAAATCTCAATGAAATATACATATCACGTAATTTAAAAATCTATAAATTGTACACGCACTATATTAAATGATTAGCATTATTTTTATTTTTTTAAAGAAGTCGGTATCGTAATTTTTTTTTTTTTTTTTTTAATCAATTCTTTGCTTTACCGTTATTATTTCGAATACTATACGTTACTCTTCATTCCTTGTTTTTTCTTATTCCCGTTTATATTCTTTTAGCATTCGTGCTTTGACTTGATTTTAATTCATCCCGAATATAATCTCGTAAACACGCAACTAAATTATACTTTCATTGTAGATTTTATTTATAGTCGCAATATTTATCTTTCCCGAAGGAATGCAAATGCACGGTGTGGATTGATAAATTTACCGAATCATCTCCCGTCATGATTATTTCCAAGAGTGTGTCCAGGGTATTATTTTTCCCCTCGAGCTCTCTCTCCTCCCCGCGCTCTCTTCGTTCTCCACATCGCGCGAGCGCCAGCCTTTTTGCTCTCGCTATATTTTTTCATCCCCTCTTCTCGTTCAGCTTGCGGTTCAAGGTCGTAATCTTCTCGAGACCTCCTTTCTTTCAACCAGTTCTCTGCTTCGCCTCCCTTTTAATCTTTTTCTTCCGCCTGTTTCTGCGCCTTCGTTTTCGAAGTTCAAGGCCTTCCTCCTCTTCTTGAATGTGCTCTCCCGACACTTCTTCCTCGTGTACTCCAGCGTATATTTTTCGTCCATCTTTTATCCTCTTTCTCCTCGCGTTTTCCATCATTTACATCACATGTTTTATTTCTCTCTAAATCTTATCTTACAGATTCTTTCGTTGTTTTTCTTTTTCCTTTTGTTCTTATCGTCTTCGAGTTGTACTTACCGTCAAACTTTCTTGCTTCTCGGTTCGAGAACTTTATTCCAATTCACTCTTATCGAATTTTTTATTTATTTTCTCACCCCTTTTTTCTTTCTTCGTTATTTTTTATTCTTGACACTAGTTACATTTTACCTCAAATATTTTTTCTTTGAATCTTATTGCTTTAATATATTGCTATTTTTGTAATGCGATGACTTTTTGTCAGTTTTTTTTTCTTTCTCCTTTCATCCTGTTTTTGAATGTGATAACTGATCTCCTTTTCGTATATCACTTTCGTTCGTTTTTTCCATCGAGATCTGCTTCATCTCCTCGCCGTCTCTCTCGTTTTCCTCCTTCTTATCGGCGTTTCCTCTTTGAAGCGTGGTACCCTCCAGAGCCCCGCAATCACATCTAGTTATCCAGTTGTCTGAAGTCGAGAAAGGCGAATACTCTTTTTCACGTACAATCATTATGGCGAACGATCATTGTAAAATAAACGAGATGAAAAGTGTTGCTAATTTTGTCACGACACGAACCCTGCAGCTCGAAAGATACGTCGTCACTTATATTTATTTTTTCGCGAATATTAAATTATACATATACTTTGCCATATGTTCTGTCATGTCGAAACTTTACAATCTCGAAATTTACAACACTTCTGATTTTTCATTCAAATTTGCATAAAAAATATTTCTTAAATATAGGAAGTACATCTATATTTTTAAAAAAGACGTGGTATAATTTAATTATTATTCAATTACATATACACGTTTTTATAATTTTTATTTAAATCATACCTGTCGTCAGCTTTTTCTGAATATCGTTTGACCTGTATGTATCTAGCTATAGATCGTGGTTGGAAAGGATCCGGAAGGAGAGTCCGGCTTTCTTAACAATAGTATCCTTGGAGCTTCCGGAATCCCCGATTCCCTTGATAGAGTATCAAGCGAACGCGCGTTGGAGACGTAATGGTTCTGATGAAGTCGCAAATGACAAGGATGACATCTTGGACGAGTTTCTGGAGAAGGTTACGGAGGCCGGGAAGGATAGGGGAAAGGAAAGTCGCGCAGGAAGGAACAATGTGTTCCGAAGAAGTCGGCGGGATAACAGGAAGGAGGGCGAATCTCTGGAATGTACGAAAATGCTAGCCACCCTCGAGGAATGCACGAGAAACATTATTGAAGGTTTGATTATATTTATATATATATATATTTTTTTTTTTCACTTTGCGATAAAAGGAAATGAACGCGTGTGTGAAAATAGCCGGAGAATTATTTTGATAACGCTGTCTCCGAATTAATTGGTTTGTAATGATTCAATTATCTGTGAAATTGACCGTGTTAAGATCGTAAATATGTTGTCGCAAAAGACGCCATAGAAAGTGTATATCTTCGTATTTATCGACTCTACATTTAATTATCGATTATTCTTCGAACTAATTTATCGACGACAAGATGTTATCTTTTATCCATCTCTGCTCGACTCGCTCCAAACAAAGCACCTTTTCAAGTACCTCGCTTCTAAAGATGAATTCGGCGGAGATCTCAAGATCGGATTTCAAGGGCGAGGAATCGTCGCAAACGGACCTTGAAATCGCTCGTCGGTACCTCTCTCGCGATTCCTCTCGTGACGATTTATCGAAATTTTTACGTCGGCGGCTTCTCGGCTCGAAGAAGAGCTCGAGCGCAGATCATGAAATTCTCGAACGGCAATATCGAATTTCAGGACCGGGCCGCGAGGGATCGAGCCGGCAGGATGTCAGCGACGATTGCATATGCTCCGAGATACAGAGAGATCTCGGAATCGGCAGTTCGGAGGTCGCGCGCACCACGAGTCCGGAAGTGACTCACACGATTCGGATCGCGATGAAGTGTCATCGTGGCCAGTCGGTGCACGAAGAAGACGACGACGAGGGTCCCGAGGAGGCGGATGAGCGGCGAACGGAAGAGGAGACGGAGGAGGGAGAAGGAGAGAGGATAAGGAATGACAGGAAGGATTTTCAAGGTTCGTCGAAGGCGAGGAAGGAGCCGGTGAAGCACGACGTTTCTCGCTGCACCGTCGCTGCAGGTGTAAACGCGGCGTTGGACTTCACGCTAAATTGCAATAGCGTGCGACTGACTTTTCGTGATACGAACCTGAAGGCAGCGACGCGAGGCGAAAGGTAAGAACGACCGGAAACGGTCCAGAGTCAGAGTTCGAATCGCGTGGGTTTCCTTTTGAAAATGGGTTTTGCTGCGCGACGGGATGCTGTTGTAGCTTTAAATAAACGCGTAAAATATCACTAACTATTAGCAACTATCTTCCTATCTGCTCCTTTCCCTCTGGGTTTTTTACTTCCTTTTTTCCTGAAAAATTCTTTTTATTTGTATACATTCAATAGTAAATTCATGAATTTTTCACAAACATTTTTCACAAATTCTTTCACAAGCAAACGAATAAATAGAATACCTCAAAAATTGTTTTTCTATTAAATTTCGATGTAAATTTGTTCAGTTTTAAATTAGAATGGAATAATATAAAAATAAATGTCGCGCGCGCATAGCGGAATAAATTATCAGATTCATGATAATCGCCATAATTCCTTGAATCGAGAGTTTTTTCAATAAACTTAATGCGTGAGAACGAATTTTGATGGATAGCTCGAGTGTCGAATTAACGACACGATCAGCACGATAATTCGCAAAAACAGGTAGATATTCATAATTCCAGGATTCATTTCAAATAAAAATTCCAAAAAATTGAAATAACATCGTGATAAAAAATATTTCTATATTTATCTGGTATTTGAGATTTTTAAAGTTTTCTATTTATTTACTTGCTTCACAAGATGAATTATTAAATGTGTGAAAAAAGATATAGAGATCTTTATATCATGCAAATTTATACGAGCAAATATTGGTTTTATATGTAGGATATATTTTTACGTATTTAAATTTTTTAGTTATGAAATTATTTAAGCTCGAAATAATAAATAATTAATTAAAAATCTTATATAAATCCTAAGAATATTTAAGAATTACAATTCATTATTGTCAAATTGTATATAATTTTAAATACAGACGTTTTAAACATAGGATCGTGTAAAGGAATAACACGACTGATTTTAGCGTCAAATACCTCTCAGGGATCTCCGGTTCTCCAAAATCAGGTAAACGCGACTCATATGAACCACTCATCTCGCCGACAACGGTTCGTTCAACGCGGTCGGTGCAAAACGGGATCTCGGTGACCGAATCACCGAGATTCTCGGGGCGGGGAGAGTTTCTAAATTTCGCTCTCGGAACCTCTCTGGCAAAAAGCCGCTCCTTTCCCGAAAGGAGAGCCGCGCCGAAAGCGAAGAGAGAGAGAGGAGAGACCGAGTTCGCGCTGGTCGGCGAAACCGCTCGACGGAATCGTGAATCTCGCCGACGCGGCAATAAATCGCAATCGCCGCGATTCGATTTCTGCGAACACGCGCTAGAAGAGCGCGGGAGATACGTCGAGGCGGCCTATTAATTAGCTCGTCTAATAAATCGCGACCGGGCCCAAGACGGGAGGGGAGAACAGAGGAGCGAGACGCTATCGCTCTCTCCTCTGCCACCCCGTCCTGGTCCCTCTCGCTCTCTCGATCATTCGGGAAGAAGAAGCGGCGAGGATATAGAGAACAGATGGAACGAGGAGAGAAAGAAGAAGTAGAGGGGAAAGAGGGGAGAGATAGTATGCCGATCAAGAAGGGAGCGGGAAGAGGAGGAAGCGGAGAGACGAAAAAGAGAGACCGTCGAGTACACGAGTTTTCGTGGTGGACCGGCGCGAGATGAGAATCGCGCGCGTCTAGGCCGGGGTCCGTGCAAGGAGTTGGGCCCCGAACCGGGTGAGAGAAGTTGGCCGCGTCCCCCCTCGTCCCTCTGTTTCGTCCTCCTCCTTCTTTCCTCCTCCGCGTCTTCCTCCCACTCTCGCGGGGCGGCAGCATCGCATTTTTATTTTGTCTGTGCTGTGCCGCGCTGCTCTCCCTCTCCTCCTTTCCCCCTTTCTCTCTCTCTCTCTCTCTCTCTGTCTTTCGTAGGGCGAAAATGGTTCATGGCCGTTCCCCGAGCGCCGATTTCGCCGCGGATCCTGCGCGGAGGATCGACCTCTAACTCCTTTATCCCTGCGCCCGTGCTTGGCCTGTCCCGGCCTGGCGCGGTCTGGTCCTGCCGCTTTATTCGCCACGCTACTTCGCTCCGGCTCCGGAGTCTCGCAGTCGCGTCGCGGTTTTTCACCGCGGTATTACCGTCTCCCTTCTTTATGCACGCGATCGCATCGTTCGCCTTTTTTAACGCGCCGTAATGGAATTTCTGTTTTCTGCCGGCTAGATTATACCAGTCGCGTCTCCTCTCTCTCCGACGTTTCATTCTCTCTTTCTTTCTCTATCTCTCTTTCTCTCTCTCTCTTGCAGTCGTTTGTCGGAGTTTCGTTACTTTATAATGGACGGTATTGTGTGTTCGGCGATATATTGGCCGAACAATATGCGGCTGCCGTTTATCACGCGAAAAGTCGTAAATCAATTTTTGAAACATAATAAACAAGTAATGAGCGGGAATATATTCTTGCGAAACACGAGCATTTCTTTAAATGAACGATTCTCGTATAAATTATCAGCCGAGAAAGATCAATACGACTTAAAATAGTTTCGAAATTAATGACTCGTATAAGTTATCAGCGAAGAGATCATTGTCTCTCGCGCGCGGGACAAAAAAGTCTCGCAACATCTATATGTAGATTATTCTGTCGAGGTAAATTCTTTTTTTTTGCAACATGTGTATTCTTTTGTAAGTTATATATCATTCTAATCTCTTTGCGTTATTTCTTTCCTTTATATTATTACTTGATATTTTTTTTATATTCGAACCGCGTTTTTTCTGGCGCCGAGATTGAAAAACTTGTTGTGAGAAAATGCTCATGTAAATTTTACGCAGAGCGTCTTTCTCTCTGCGAAAAAAATCCTCTCTCGTTTAAAAATCACGTATCTCTTCTACTCTTCTTAGAATGCGCATTTTCCGCAGTTATATAACTGACCTAAAGAGGAGCTCATTAACTCTGCGATTACCGCCTAATTAAACCTGCTCGTTCGATGAGCCAGGAGACGCGACGATCGATATTTCTTCCGTAAATAACTATCCTTTGCGTGCGTGTATCGTCGTCAAGGGAGAGTCAAGAAAGACGGAGGGACCCGCGTGAAACAACGCGAGTGCGCGTAAGTTTCTAATCGCAAAGAGTCCTTTTTTTCCCTTGGATCAAATTACCATAAATAATGATCCCTTTGCAATATTTATAGCGACCGCGTACCCTACGAACGCCTTTATGACCGGCCACCCTCTGCCGTTCTTCTCCCCCTTCCTCCCCCCTTCGCCACCCCCTCGTCATTTCTTCGACTTTCTCTCGTCTCATTTTAACTTTTCACCCCGCCGCGGTGTCCTGCTCCTTTCATCCTCCGGTTCTCGCTCGATCGAGTCAAGTTTTCCGCCGCCTTTCTTCTTTCGCCTATTTCTCGCCCTCTGTCCTCTCTCCGTCTCTTTCACTCCCCATCCTCGGTATCGATTAACGTGTTTACCCCGATCCCAGCAGGAGGGATACAAAAACGCGCGAACAACCGCGCTGTCGACCGCAATCGACGTTCGCGGAAGATCGCGGAATCGGAAAACAAAGGGGACTTTGTGCCCCGTTGATGAGACTGAGATGTTCCCCTCTCTCTTCCTCGCCGCGTTTTTCTTCGTTTCTGTCGGATATAACGAGGCGAGAGGAGGAGAAGAGATGAGGAGGAGAAGTGGCAGATGGGGAATTGGTATGTTGATTATGCGTGCTAGACGAGAGAGAAGGAATATTTCGCTTGTTTTGTGCTATCTCTCTCTTCGAAAAGCAATTGCATATTTTTATTAAGTTGTCGCGATTTTATGATAAATAAATCTAATATAATAAATATCAAATTTCTAGAGAGATGCTATAAATTATTTCAGAGATTTTATTGATGCTTGATCTTGAAAATTGATCGTAAGAGCGAATCATGTAAGTTCGTTGTTAATGCATTTTACTTGAATGCAAGCATGACGACGGGAAATCGAAGTTAAGATATTGGACAGATTCTTCCCTTAAATGGATTTCTCACTTAAGGATCCCGGCCGAGGATGAGGCCTCGTTTAGCTCGGTTAATTCTGTCGATAATTCTCGATTAATTCCGTCAATTCTTTGAATCGATTATTGTGTGTTGTGAATAAACCTCTACTATGGTTCAGGAAATAATCTTTCGATTGGCTATATCGTGAAAACGATAAATTACTTAAAAATCGAAATTTTTTAATATTTAATTTTTTTAAATTAATTTTTGTTTTTGATATTTATATCGAGATGTCTTTGAAATATTTCATCTTTAAAACAATATGATATGCTTATTATTTTTACAATAGAAAGAATCTGAAAAAGAATCTAATTAATTATATAATCAATCTATGGATTCCCTTAAATAAATTGTATCCAACAAAAACAGAGTAAATTAGTGAACTCTACAAAATATACATACATCAACGATATTTTGCTAACAGACGACAAAATGACAAAGAAAACAATGTTTCAAAATGTTTATCGCATTGAAAAATCTAGCAGACGGCGGTTGAGGGGGAGAAGGGAGAAGAGAGAAGAATTGGGAAGAGATAAAAGAAGTAGTAGATACATCCTTGATGAGCGATCGTTATCACGATGAAAATGCAGTCTCGAATCGATTCGTGGCAGTCGATTCCTCTTGGCTCCTTTTATTAGACTGCCAATTTCGTGGCGTCTTCCACGGAATTCTCTCTTCTTTCTTTCTTTGTTTATTTTTTGGTTCTCCCCGATACGAAATCCCGCTGACTCGAGAGAGAGAACGCGCCGACAAGAATTCCTCCTCTAATCTCGATGTGCCCTCGCGACGCTTATCTCGAAACGACGTGACGTCACGCACGGCGGCGCATATGTTTAACTCGTAAGAAGAATAATTCGATTATGCCGACGCCGGCCACGCTCCTTTCACAGTGGCCTCCTTGTTTTATCCGGATTTTTTTCCCCTCCCGCTCGCAGTTTTTTCGCTTTGTTTCCGGCGTCGACGCCTTTTTTTCTCTCGCGGGATCGCATTAATCTTCGCCTTGACTACGCAGCAGACGCGAAGTAATTATA